GCTATAGTTACACCCATAATACTTAGCCTCTCCAGTTGGACATCTTAGCCACCCCCACCCCATAAATTATATCCTAGAGCCGCCACCGCCCCCTACTCTTTTAGACGGATGTACTGGGTTCTTTAAAGTGCACACGAGCCAAATGCGTACACTGGGCCTACGGTTGAAAGTCCTTATCCGAGAAGACTTGTTCCACCACCGGAACCATTGGCGAGTGAGTCGTTCCAACCAGCGTGACCACTCACAATTTTTGATATACCCAATGACTGGGTCGAAATTACCCAAGATTCAGCAAAAATTGCCCAAAATTACCCAAGCTTCATGAAAATGCATTAAAATTTAAAAAAAAACGTGTTTTTCGCATGTATAGTTTCCCTTTTAGTTCAATTTATAAACCATTTTTTATTGTAATTGTTTGTGTTAATTATTAAAATTAATATTCATGAGGTGATAATACAGATAGAAAAAGGCTGTTTATCTGGCTCTAACTTGGCATCGAACGCAATTAGGGGATTATCGTATCATGTTTCAAGACGGGTATATCTAGATAAAGTTCGAATAAACAATTCTGAACCCATGTTTATAGCAATTAACAGTCAATTAACAATGCTATGTGCACTTCGTTGAGTTTTGCTTACTTGAATGGACTGACATATACTTTGTTACTTCTTAATTCTTCCTCTGCGACAAAAATATTTAATTTTCTTAGTAAAAATAAAATACCCAAGGATTTCAACGGAATACCCAAGAACCCAATACCAAGTCAAAATACCCAAGATATTGGGTAAATACCCAAGCAGTGGTCACACTGGTTCCAACCAGCGCGCCGATATTAGAGCTGAAGGTTACGGTGCCCCTGACTGCTCGGCCAATCAACTCGCTCTATACTTACTCGATCGTACACACAGGTATCGAGAGACAACCTCTATCTAGCAGCCATTCTGGCAAATAACGCTAGTTAGAGATATTGTCCGAGAGGGATATGACTGAGTCTGTAGACGTATTTTTCGTTCGTTAAATTTCAGAGCAATATCAACTTCTATGTATTTTTATGATGCAAATTACAATAAATCGAAATTAATTAAATGTAAAATTTGGTACAATAATAACATTATTTATAATTGATATAATGTAGAAAATCATCTTCTCATTTCGTTTCTCAATAGTTTTAGACCATAATAATTTCTAACAAATTTTTGTGTAGGCCTGTATTTTTTTCATGAAATGTTTTGAGGCATATTGGCTTACGCTGCCATTTCTAATGTTATGTGTTTATACAGGAATAAATATTTTTCGATAATATCATTGAATATTTAGTTAAGTTAGAATTAAGAATAACTCCATTGCATGCTGCTCCGAAGCTTTCCTAAATGTTAGCTAACCTTACCTTTATATAGATTTTTTCTTGATTCCTCTTTTTGTCTTTTTTCCTCTTCTTCAGCTTTCCGTTTTGCTTCTTGTCTCGCCTTCATCTCATCTTCCTCCTTTCGCCTAGCCTCATTTTCTTCTTCAGTCTGTCGTTTTAAGACTGCAACAAAGGAACAAAACTGTGTAAAACATCTAAAATGTGTGAAAACATCGATGTCATTTCAGAAATAACCAACAACAATGTGATTTATTTTAATCATTTCTACACACAATCCATGGTGCTAATTTCCTTATCGACTGGTAGTGATGTTGCTGTTTAATTAATTAAAAATGGAGGATCATATTGAATTAATTAATATTGTTGCCGGGTTTTTTTCAGAATTTCTTCAGATTCCTTTGTCAAACATAAATAAAAACAATTGTTAGTATCCACAGCACAGCAAAATGTTAGGAAAGGCTTTAAATGGACTATTGCTTAACCTTCCGAATTGATAGACGTTCCTAGTCCAGACGTCATCGAGGACCCACCATCAGTAAAGCAATCGGTGTGGTGATTCATGTTGTACTTTATCGCAGCTGTAGGTTCAAAGGTTGATCAATGAAACATAGTCTATTGTATTTTAAGTAAGCACTATAAAACATTGGTATAAAGTTAATGGTATTCTAATTCTAATCTATAAGCCACCCACCCATTATTATGAATGAAAATATTATATTTTACTCATTTTGTATGTTGCATTATAAATGTAGGCCTATTATGGTGAAACATGGTCCGCTGATAGTAGATATAGGCCTATTATTAATATGGATATTTATACAGGATCATTTAAGCGACCGATGGCCGTATCAATGGCGCCGTACATATGTTTTGTTATTGTAAATTGCATGATGCTGCTTTACTATCGTAAAGCCCAGTCATTCTCTACATTATAGGGCCTATTATTTTGCAGAAAACCTCGACATAACATTTAGTAATGACGATTTTTATGATAATATTAAACAATTGTTAACAATAAGATAAGGAATGAATCAAGTGATCAATCAACCAATCAATCAATCAATCAATCAATCAATCAATCAAACACTTGTTTGATGGATAGGCTTATATGAATGAATAAATGGATGAAATTAATTTTTAAAATGATTATATCAATAAATCAATCATAAACAAAATTCATATGTTTGTATTTCTGGATTAAAATGAAATAAGATGATCTCAAATGACAATTAATTTTTCAATAAATATTCTCAACAAGTAGGCCATAGATAATGCAGCAACAGCACCAACACCAGCGTCATAAGCAGCAACATCAACAAGGCCAGCAACAGCCCCACCATCAAGACGAGCACGAGTAAGGCCTACCAGAAACAGCAATATCAGCTTCAGCAGCAGCAACAGCGGCAGTGTCAGCAACATTATCACCGCCAGCACCAGAAACAGCATTACCACCAGCAACAACTACAACAACAAAAGCACCAACAACAACGACAACAACAACAGCCCTAGCAATAACAAAAGCACCAGAACAGAACAACTCTAACAACAGAAACAGCGCCAACAACACCACCAGCGTCAACAACCACCAATACCAACATCAACACCAACAACAGCACAAGCGCCAACAGCAAAAAACAGCAACAAAAATACCTACAACTGCACCAGCGGCAACAGCAGCCCCTGTGCAAACAACAGCTCCAGCAACAACACCAGCGCCAACAACAGCACTAACGACAGCATCAGCGCCAGCACCAGAAAACCCACAAGAAACCAACAATTAATTTAGATGGAATAATAGTAGGCATAAGCGGAAGTATTATTATTGTTATTATTATAGACATAAGATACGCAAGACGATTATTGAAACATAGATTAATACAACACAATCAATTTTCATTCAATGAATGTTTTGTTAGCAGATTGTATACAAAAGTGGCACACAATATTCATACAAAATGCATCACCTCGAAGGCAGGCATAACAACGACCTAAAAGAAAGCATCAGATTAAACAATAATTGGTATGCCAATGCTACGTATAAAATAACTTGTATTGGCCATAAATACAATTTGAACTTTGTAATAACACATCAAACACAACATACAAAACAAATGTCTTGCACTCTCTACCACAAAACAACTGATATAACAAAGACAGACCAGAACATGAAGATAGGTGACAATAAACACATCAAACATAAAACACAAAACAAATTTCTTGCACTCCCATAAATCAACTAATAAAACAAAAACAGATAAGAACATGAAGATAGGTGACAATACACAAATATTGATTTTTTTTCCCCTCAATTATGATAACATGTTTAGTAACTTGTAATAACTGTACCCAAAGGAACAGATACATATAATATGAAGATAAATAAGTAAGAATAAAACCAGAAAAGTTAAATATGTAATAAAATATTCGACACTGATCAGAAAAGGATTTTCAAAATAGGCTAATTCGTAATTTTGCCCTACCTGACGTGGAAATGTACTGAATACTCGAAAAAATCGCAAGTTGTTCTCGGGTGGGACTCGTACTTTTCACGTCAGGTAGGGCAAATACCTATACTTGATTCTCCTGACGCAAATCCAGTTATTTAATTGTCTATTCCAGCACGACAATAACACTTACCGTACTAATTCCTCTTGTGAACAAATTTGGCAGAATTAGAACCCCAAAATTAAACAATGTGGATTTGGATATCATTTTATTGATACCTTGATGTGCTATTATGAAATACAATACTTAATGAGAATAATTTTTTATCATTTATTTTACTTACGTTCGTGTATTTTTGGTTTTGAAAGTTCCGGTTTATGGAGCTGTTGTCTTTCTCGTATGAATTGTGGGTAAGGCGAGCGTGTATCCCGGGGTATGGTTGGCTGATAAACCGGTCCATCTGGTTCTTGGAGTTTATCCACATTAAAGAGGACGCTTTCATTGCTCAAATTTTCAGCTGTAAAACAGTGGATTTATTAATTAATACTAAAAAACTAAATTATCGCAAGTCCCCAAAAAGTAGATTGTTTAGTGTTTAGGTTTTTTTTTTAGTATACTACTATTTATTGCAGGATACTCTATGTTGTAGTCGATCTAAAAGTAATGTCATATCCGTAAGGTTTCGGGTTTCGTGGTCAGGAAAGAGTAGAAAACACTTTGGTTTCAGGGGAGCCAAGGCTCAAGAAACACATAAATTCCCAGACCTTCAACTTACTTGATTTTAACACATCCAATAGCATACAAAGAATCACCCAATACATTATAATATGAAGTATAACTAAACTATAACTATATACAGTACATTGCAACAACATGTTGATAATAAATTAACTAGCATTTTATTATTAATGTAAGATTCAAACATAAAGTACAAATACGCTTCAGAAATATTATCAATACAAGCATACATTGTACACTCATTCACTTTCAACGTTATGTAGCAGTATAGTCAAGCTCTCTGCGAGAGCCTATTTTTATAATTCGCGACACAGGAAAAATTTGTATGTGAATTGATGTGAATCGCTAAAACCTGAACAATATACATCTGGTTCATTCAATCATTAGATCAACAACCCATACAGACAAAAATCGAAAATTGAACAACAACTTATCTGACCTGTTTTGATCAAACATTCTGAATATTGTATGAATACATATACTAACCAGCTCCGAAATGAGCCCATTTTGGCAAAGAATTGTTCCAGGTTTTTGCTTCATTTTCATAGAACAAGAAACCTCCACCCACCCGCCGATATTTTGTACTCTTGGCCCTGAAATATGAGTAACATGGTAATTATGAGAATAGGAACTCTACGCACATGATTCGGGGCACTTAATATTAAAAATAAAAAATATTACCATAACATATTTCAAATATATCTTTACTTATAATTGATATGTAGGCCTACCGGGAATTTCACATTTTTTCTTATATACTTACTGCGGAGCATTTGTTTTCTCATTGATTGTAAACCTATATTGTGCAACATCGCCATCGTATTTGATGGGCACGTCATTGATTAACGAGTCGTCTGCCTCATGATGACACTCTTGAACGTCAAGTACCGAATCATATAGTCCATCAATTACTCTTTCATCGTAATTAGAAACATTCGAACGACAGCCATAGCAAAATTGTGGTTTCTCGTCATTTCTTGTCCTGACATCAGCAGCACTCAAATACTTGGGGTAGAGAACGGCGGTGTCTGTGAACTGGACATAGGACCTGCCGACGTAGTCATTGCCGATCTCGGAGACAAGGATCGAGGCAGGTTGACTTGCAGAAAGTCTGTTACTGGGATTTAGGCTTCTAGAGGATTAAACATCAATTAAATAATAAATAGCAAATGCATACGAACTTACACGAATTGATCTTATGTTATTTAAAAATATCGAATCTAATAATTGAAACATATCAAAGTTGAATGTAACCTATTCTACAATAAAGTAATTTGCTTACTTTTCTAACGATATTGGTTCCAAGTACTTGACAGTAGAAGCAGTATTGTCGTATCCCTTTTTATCCTGAAAATAAAATAAAATGTGTAACTTTAACTTTCAAATCTGGCAAACCTAAACTTTAACATATAGATACTTGGAAGTTCATTCAAAATTCAATAAGGCCCAATAAAAAAAAAATTAATTTATCACCCTATCAAAAAATAAAAACTGATAAGGGAGGGAGGATTTTTTTTTTTAATTTGCTAACCCCGCCCCCATTTTACCGATGTTCGCAAGTAAATCAATAGTTAAAACAAATTTATAAAAAGTCATAAAAATGGAATCAAATTTATATTAAAAAAGATGTTTTTGTTATACTAGTAAACATATTTGCAAGAAATCCTGATGTTTCAAGTGAAAAATATGGAAAAACGACTTTTTGAGATAAAAATATATGTTGATTGAAAAAAAAAATCAGAATTTTCCCAAAAGTAATGAGGGAGGGGGTGATGAACTAATAATTTTTTATGGTGCCTAATAGGTGTCATGCAAACTATCAGACATTTCTCAGTAGTGCTAATAATATTCAGCCTTGTGATTTGTAAATGAATGTTTATTCTTTCGTCATTACGTTAACATCGCAATTGTATTTTCTATTTGAATAGCTGCGGTATCGCCTGACCATGACCATTTCGTTGGTTTAACCAACTGTTTACACTTGAATATAAATACTGTATATTACTTATCAGGCGAGGCTAATTGACTCACACGTATAGAAAAATTGAAACGAAAAAACTCAATACAGTTTGGAATGGCAACAGCTTTAATTAGCCTGTGTTTATTCCAATGTTTTTCACAATCATCAGCTCGTGGTATCGAACCTAATATCGGTAATGACCATATTTCAACCGTTTTACATGGTCTTTGTACAAATGCATACATCTTTGCATTAGCCTATTATATTATATTGTATACAAATACAACAAAAAGGAACAGATAAATATAATTTAGTATTTTATTTTGAAATGGCATATATCCGAATAATGAAGACACTCCTTAACCACGTCTACATTTTTAGCCTTCGATTAAAACGTTGAACCTCAACTGAGATCCATGCCATCTTTTTATACACCAATTGTTGTTTTCTTGAATTTTACCTTATAAGCCTTCACACACACACACACACAC